TCCACACTCACCACTTCCTCCCTCTTCCTCCTCCATCTCCCCTTCACCTGCTTCCTCCCCTCCTCCACCCTCCCCCTCTACCCGGTCCCCCCTACTCACCCCTCCATCTACTCCCCCTCCTCCGCCTCCTCCCCCTCTTCCTCTCCCTGCCCTCCCTCCCCCTGTAAAGGACTGAGCGAGGCCAGAGACCCTCGACCCCCACTCCCAGGGGCGAGGCCTGCACCTGCTGTCCATAGGGCAGGGCCCTGGGAGCCCCTGGGCTGGGTCCCCCCAATTTCCACGTCAGCTCAGTCCAGCCGCGTTGGCAGGTCCCTTAGTGGAGCCCAAGCAGCATCTCCTGGGCACAGTTCTGTTGCCACCAGGCTCCCTCGGGAACGCCCCGGAACTGGTGTCCCACCTACACTGGCTCCAGGGCACCGTGGGGTTTTGGGGGGGGCAGGACCAGCCTTCAGGTGTTGGAAGGTGCTTTCTTCCCACTGTGGATAAGAGTCGGGGTGGGGTGGGGTGTGGCCAAGGTGGCGGCTCCGTCCTGTGCGTGCCCACACCCCAGCGGGTGGCATGCGCCGGGAAGGCACCGAGAACCACAGGGGCCCTCACTGTGGGCGTCAGAGCGCACGCGATTCCAGGAGTTTCTGGCACCGTTCTTTAGCCTGGAATCGGACAGCGCACCTGGGGGCTTTTTCTGCGTTTAAGTGGAAACTTCAAGCATCAGGTGTGCGTGCTCTGAACCCAGCTTCTCCCCAGCATGCCGGGGGACAGAGCTGGCTGGCATCGGGCCGTGCCCGGTGTCCTGTGCGTTTCTGTTCTTCCAAGGAGGCTCCCGTCTTTCGGCTCTTAGGGGCAGCCCCCACCCCCCCGTGAGTGACCCTCGTGCTCTGTTTGCACATCCGCAGAGGGACTGGGATGGAATCGGGCATCGAGCCCACCAGGCCTGTTTTCCCTCCCCCATTCCCCCTCTCCGGCGTCCCGGTGAGTCGTCGTAGCACCCTTGCGTCGGTTCCCTCACCCCCACAGCCAACGCCAGTACTCAGGGTCGCCCACCACATCCTCGGCGGCACATCAGGGTTCCCGGACTCCAGGACGCTGCCCACGGGGCTGTGCTTTCTCCCCATTCCAGCCTGTCCCATAGGGTTTGACTGAGTCCAGCTCTGCTGGCAAGAAGGAGAAGCTTCATGGGTGCTGGGGGGGACTGAAGGTGACTCCCGCCCTTGTGACCCACCAAGCACCTCTCCTGAAGCTCAGGGCCCCTGGGCGGGGCGATGGCCAGCTCTGCATGCAGGAGCCCCTGCGTTGGTCCCCGGCACCTGGAGTAATTCCTGAGTATCACTAGGAGTGTCCCCCGAGAGACTCTGGGTATACCCTCCCCCCAAAAAAAAACACCCATTTTGGGAAGCTCTCAGTAGGGACCTCAGTCCCCACAGAGGTTGGACTAGGATTCTTTTTTTTTTTAATTCTTTAGTTTTTGGGTCACACCCAGTGATGCTCAGGAATTACTCCTGGCAGTGCTCGGGGGACCATGTGGGATGCCGGGGATTGAACCGGGGTCAGCCACGTGCAAGGCAAACGCCCTACCCACTGTGCTATCACTCCGGCCCCTAGACTAGGATTTGAGGTGGGCAGGGGAACTCTGAGACCCAACCATGGAGTCAGAACCCTTCCCTGGAAACCCCAACACCAGGTCCTGGAGGCCAGGGCCACTTCTCACATGGCCTCACCAGTAAAGGTGGTGGGGCGGGGGGGGGGAGGGGCGACACTGGGGAAAGTTGTGGCAGGGGGCAGGAGGCTGCCCGCTGGATGACTGGCTCCCCACGGGGCCTGGAGGTCCAGAGTGGCCCCCAGGTGAGGGACAGCTCCGTCCATCTGTCTGTCCGTCTATCTTTGCCCGTACCCTGCCGAGGGGCCTTCTGCGGTGTTCCTGTGAGCATCTGTGAAATGGGCTTCACAGCATCCTCGGGGAGGCGGGGAGGGGTCACCAACTCAGTGGCCGTTCCTGGCCCAGGCGTCCTGACCATAGCGAGACCACGGGGCGGATGGAGAAGTCTCAGAGCCGTGAGACTGGTGGGTGGCCCGGGGGCCTCCAGGGGGAAAGCGTGGCTGCCCCTTGCCAGAACCCGGTGGCCTCTGTCTGTCTGTGGTTTTCAAGCTGCCCGCCCGGCAGGGCAGGACCCGGGGCTCACCTGTCACTGGCGTCAGGTGTGACCAGGGATCTAAGTTTTCCTTTCGAAAAAGAGAAGAGCCGAAAACAGCCTGGCCTGCATCTTTGGGGTGGCATGGGGGGGTGGGGGGACGCCGGGCTGCGGCTGGCCGCGTGCGAGGCGCTCGAGGAGCCCCCTGTTTATTATTTCTCGCTCAGCGTCGAAATCAAATGTGCTCGGTGCTTCTGTATTCAATACACATTTAACCCTGCCGACTTAGATTTCTCAGGTTTGAAATCCAGTGGGGAATTGGCCCGTTTCCCAACTTTCCCTCCAGTCCCCTTGAACAGAGCTTCAAATCCTGCTTAGCACGACCCTCCACACACACACACACACACACACACACACACACACACACACGCACGCACACACGAGGACGGGGGTAGGGGGAAACGCACACGCGCGGCTTCTTCCCGCTGCCCCCAGCCCCCTCCCTCCATGAGCACCCCAGAAAGACGGATGCGATGGCTGAGATGTGAGGGGCCAGTTGTCTGCATTGGCTTGTGATTGGGGCTTAATTAAACCATTTTGTCTGTGCTTGGATGCGGCTGTAGCTGTAAGGCTCGGGGTGTGCGTGCGTGTGTGTGTGTGTGTGTGTGTGTGTGTGAGAGAGAGAGAGAGAGAGAGTGTGTGTGTGTGTGTGTGTGTGTGCTGTGCTGTGCCTGTGCTTCCGAGTGTGTTCGTAGCCTCCGTGACGGGTGCATGTGTGTGTGTGTGTGTGTGTGTGTGTGTGTGTGTGGCGAGGTCCGGCTTTGTCCTGGCTGGCCGGTCACGGAGGGCGGGGGGGTGTGACTCGGCCCCTGTCTCCGGGTGCATGGCGCCCCCCCCGCCCCACCCCCGGCTCTGTCGCTGCGTCACCCCTAATGAAGCAGTCTCTCCATCCACCCCGCTGATTGCCAGCCCTTCCTTTTGTTTGTTGGCGCGGAGCCATTCAGCCGCGCGCTGACAGCTCAGCTCGTCTAATTAGCTCTGTTGTTCTTTTTCCCCATGTTTCACCACGTTGCAAGTTCAGTGGAAGTTGCCACAAACTTAATTCCGCTCCCCACTCCACCCCCACCCCATCCCCATTTCAGTGGCCAGTTCCCAGTGCCAGCCCGCCTTGCGGGGAGCTTCCGTGGGCTGATGGGCCTTCCCGCCTGAGGGCCCCTGGACCCCGCCCCTACACCCACTGCCGGCCCCTCCCCCAGGGCAGGGTGCCTTGCCCTCGCAACCCCACCCCTGCACAGCCTCATGGGGAGCACTGGTGGCCCTCCGCAGGAGGGAGTCCCACTCCGGTGGGGACAGCAGCCTGGAGCTGGCGTTGGAAGGGTGGGGGGAGGGTTCCTGTCCACTCAGCAAACGGGGACGGGTTATGGGGGCGCAGCAGTGATGGTGCCAAGGGGATCTCTCTCCAAGCCGCACCATCTTCTCACTGAACGTCTTGTTCCCCGGCAACCCCGGCTTTGGACCTAAGCCCCCACCCCACTTTATTGGGGGGGGGTGCAGTGCAGCCTGAGAAGGTTCCCCTAGCACCAACACTGCTGTCGCCACCACCGCCGTGCTGGCTCCAAGGAATACACTCGCTGCTCCCTGGCCCGCTGGGGCTTGTTCGCCGAGCCAGGCTGAGCTCAGACTGGCCACTCGACAGGAAAATCTTGGGTCGGGCGAGGCGTGCAGAGGCCTGAGCGCGGTGCCTGGAACCTGGTCCTCGAGTGGTTTCGCTCCCATCACCCTCCCACCACCCGGGGCAAGGGGAGAGGCCAGGCGGGGACCAGCCTGGGGGTCCTTCCTGTCCCCCTCCCCTGCTGTGACCCTCAGCCACGAGAGTCTGACCACCCCCCTCCTTTGATCTCATGGCCGGGGGTAGTTAAGCCCCCGGGTTGGGGTTCCAGGTGGTTTTCACAGGCAGGGAATTCAGAGAAAGCCTTCCGCCGCCCAGCTGGTGGGCCCCGATTTAAAACCATGGTATGGGGGGGGGGGGGGCGGAAGTGATAGCACAGTGGATAGAGCATTTGTCTTGCACACGGCCAACCCGGGTTCGAGTCCCAGCATGCCATATGGTCCCCGAACACCACCAGGAGTAACTCCTGAGTGCAGAGCCGAGAGTAACCCCTGAACATCACCGGGTGTGACCCAAAAAGGAAAAAAAATTTAAAGCTTTAAAAAAAAAAAAAAGAACGGTCTGCCGACGTTCCCCATGAATCTGAACTCTCTGAGGTTCAGAGAAATTTGAAGCCTTCCCACTCCCTCAAGCCCCGCTCTCTGCTGAGTGGGTATCCTGATTGTCCGTGGTGGCAGTGAGGCCGGGGATGAATGAGGCATGGGGATCTCTGGGAGTACATTGTCCTGCTTGGGGACTCCAGGGCTGCCCTGGGGGGCTGGGAGATGGATCTGAGCCCCCCTTTAATGCCCTCACTCCTGCCTCCCCCCCACACACACTTGGGGAAATAAGCGCCCTTGGTCCCACCGTGGAAAGAACAGATGAAGCTCGTGTGCCCTAAAGTCTGAGGAGAACCCTCGTCCTGCCAGACTGTGTGTGGGTCCCCGCCGGGGCCAAGGAGCCCCGGGGTCGGCCTCCGAGCACCACCAGGAGTGGCCCTGTGGCCCAGAGGCGTGGCCTTGGCATCACGATCCCGGGCACCGTGTCCCTTTGGCCCCCCGTGACCCTGCGAGGAGGCAGATGGGCCTGCCCTCCCCGCCCTGCCCATGCGGACCCCCTGCCCAGCAGCCCTGCTGCCCCTCCCCCCACAAGGCAGAGCTCCCTCCTGGGGGCCGCCCCGCCCACCACCCACTCAGTGCCCACTGTGTCCCCTCTGTCCCCCGTAGGTGCGCCCGCCCCGCCCACATGTCGTCAAGAGGCCCAGGAGCAACCTGTCGGGGGACGGCCGGAGGACGTCGGTGCCCAGCCCTGAGCAGTGAGTCACCCCGTCTGCGCCGTGGGGGGCTCGTGTGGCAAGGGGCTTCCTCCCTGGGGGGGTGTGGGCCTACGACTGCCCCACCCTCATCTGGGATTCCCAGAGGCTGGGCCAGGCATCTGGGCTGGCTTAGGAGCAGTGCCACCCAGACGGGGCACCGAGGGGCACCCGAGGCAGGAGGGGAACAGGATCGGGTGGAGGCAGGGACTTGGTCGGTCAGGCCTGGGGGCGCCCACCATGCCCTCGGCATGTGCTCAGACCCGGCCTCTCTGCCCTCCCTTGAGTCCGGGGCGCTGGACACTGCTCGATGCCATGGGTCCCAGTGCTCCCGTGACCAGGACAGAGATGAGGTGGGTGTGTGCGGGCAGCCACCAGAATCCGGGGGGCAGAGAGGGAGGATTTAAAGCTGAAGCACCCCGGCTCCAGAGCCACCTGGAGATGTTGAGATGTCGAGCCACCTGATGTTGAGATGTCTCTCAACATCATCGGGTGCCCACGGTTCCCTGTGGCCCCCAAGCCCCCATTCTGGGGCTCTGCCCCGGCCTCTCAGCAGCGGCCTTTTCCAGGAGAGCGCGAGAAAGCACATCAGTGTCCATCTCGGACCAGGACTGTGGTGGGGGGCTGGGGCAGACGGACGGCCTCACCCCTGGCTCCTTAGGTCCTCTGGGTGGGCAGGGCCTGGTTTGTGACTTCCCGCTGGCCTCTGGGGAAAGAGATGAGGGCAGATGGCAGGGGCTCGCCAAAAGGTGGAAAAGGGCTGGGAAACGCCCAGCGGGGGCCTAACTCTGGGGGTGGGGGAGCACTTGGGCTGCCGCCAGAGTTTACTGCTTGGCCTCCCCGGAGGAGGCAGCATGGACACAGAGCCCGCTGACCTTGCAACCTGAGAAAGTGCATGCGTGCACACCTGTGTGTGCGCGTGTGCACGTATGCATGCATGTGTGTGCTCACGTGTGTGTGCCTGTGTGCGTGTGTATGTGTGTGTGTGCGTGTGTGTGTGTGTGTGTGTGTGTGTGCATGCACAGGGCGCTGGAGACGTCTGTCTGTGTGGCACCTGGAACTAAGGACTGTGAAGTCGGGTGCGGATTTCGCATGGGCACAATAGGAATGCGGGATTCAGTGGGTCCCTAACCCCCTGCCGCTGTGGGCTCTGGCTGCCCCCTAGTGGAGAAAGCTTGGGACTGCTGCATGGTCTCCAACTTCCTGGGCCTGAGAGATTTTCTGGTTAAGGGGATGAAATGGGAAAGTCACTTTTCCTTGAAGCCGTTTCTTTAAAATCGTGTGGAATTCGGGGTCTGAGCGATAGTACAGCGGGGGGGGGGGGGTTTGCCTTGCACGTGGCCGACCCAGGTGGATCCCCAGCATCCCGTACGGTCCCCCAAGCACCGCCAGGAGTAATTCCTGAATTCAGAGCCTGGAGTAAGCCCTGAACATCTCAGGGTGTGATCCAAAAAGTCAAAAAGGAAAAAGGCAAAAAAAAAAAAAAAAAAACGCCAACAGACGAACACGTGGAATCTGGGGCCGGAGCAATAGTACAGCAGGGAGGCCGTTTGCCTCACAGACAGCAAACCCGGGTTTGATCCCTCGGCACCCCATATGGTCCCCAAGCCCCACCAGGAGTGATCCCTAAGCGCAGAGCCAGGAGTCAGCCCTGAGAACCGCCAGATGCCGCTCAATAAACAACCGGAAAAAAACGAAAAATTAAAAACGTGGAATCCTCCCAAGCCTGTTGTAGGACAGAGCAGAGAAACGCGTAGGCAGAGTTGGTTTTCGCCTTGTAGTTTCTCCCCCGACCAACAGCGCCCCCTACCTTCCCAGAACAGCATCACCACAGCTCTCTGGCTCCCAGCCAGAGGCCAGTTTGGGCTACCCACGTCCTTTCACACCAGGTTAGGGGTGCTGCACCCCTTCAGTGGCTGCCACGGAACCCTTGTCTGGCTATCACCAAACTCTGGCTGGCCCATTCTCGTGTCTTTTCTGCCGGATGCCTTTTTTTTTTTTTAATTTTTGTTCAAGCAACGTGTGAGCTTGGGAAGAGCCGGCAGGAGCGTGTGGGCAATCTGGCCAGGACAGGAAGCCACAGCAGACCCAACTGACCAGCCCAGCGCCTCTGGACCACCAGACCACGGTCGCAAGTCCCAACTTCCCTAACGTGGCAGTCCCAGGGCGGGACTTTCTCCACCACTTGGGACCTTCCTAGTGCCCTCCCCCCTTGCCCACCCGCGTCTCCCCACCCCCCACGGCGCTTCTCCACTTCCAAACGCCATGTCACAACAGCACTCGGTGTGTTTCTCCCAACCGTTGTCGGCTCCAGCTGGCAGGACCGGCTTCTCGAAACACAGGAAGCAACCCAGCGGAAAATATTTTAATAAAACAGACTCCTCATAAAATAGCATCCTGGGGAGTGGCTTGGGGGGGAGGGGGTGTGGCCCCACCCACCTGCCGGTCTCCTGGGTGCTGGGAGGAGCCTCAGGGCAAGCCCGCGCCTCAGGGTGGTACACAGTTCCCCCCCCCCCACTACCACCACCACCACCTGCCCCAGACACTAGCCCTGGGGGCGGGGGCGGGGGTCTGGCCTCGCAGTGGACCTAGAATTTCCGGAATCACAGATGTTTGTCTCCGCACTATCTGCAAGTGTCTCCGGGGTCTGGAGGATCAGACAGCTGGAAGAGACGTGGGGTCTTCGTCGCCAAGGGAAGGACTCCGTCCCCCTGGCTTTCTCAGACCCCACCCCACCCCACCCCCAAATAAAAATTTAGCCTCCCAGGCCACCAGCTGTGGCTCAGCGTCTGGGTTGCACCAGAGCCCTCAGGCTAGTCATTCCTTGGGATTTGGTTCTCACTCTCCCTCTCCTGTCTCCGGGGCCATGTGAGCACTGTGCCCCCAGCCAGCCCCCCCCCCCCCAGCGCCTCCTGGCAGCTGTGGTGACTCGCCTCAGGGACAGGGTGCCCAGGCAGGCTCTCTGGAGAGATTGCTCCTCCGGCCCGTGCCCTGCCAGCACCAGCTCCTCGCTGCTCAAGCCCCCGGAAGCCACTTCGGGAAGATGGCGTGGGGTACAGCCACCCCAGCACCCCACCCCCACCCCTGTGACCCTGCAGCCAGCACCCACCAGAAAGGGAACAGTTTCTCCAAAAGCCCCCCACCGCCTGCTCTGTGCCCCCCCCACCCCCACCCCGTGAAAGTCGGCTAATGAGTAGTCAGGGCCGTGCCCTCCAGGCTGGGCACGCCGCCATTAGTATTCAGCTTGGGGCTGGCAGAAGACCCTCAGCATTCCCAGAGTAAAAGGTGGGGAGCAGGCAGGGGGGCCGGGGTCAGAGGCCAGCACGCAGCCAGCGTAGCTGGGCACTCGCCCAGCCTGGCCCACTAGGGCTGGGACTTGCCGCTGCCCCCTGCTCACCACCGGTTCCCACGGCCCTCCAGCTCCATCCACTGTGGCATGGACCACCTCCCCTCCATACTCTACTGCTTGGAGGGGGCACCTAGAGGTGGACCTAAGAGGGCCTGGAGGAAGCAGGGTCCACCTGGGCTAGGGTGTCCCTCCACCACCCAAGCGGCTGGAAGGAGATGGGACCTTATGTGCCCACTCTGGAAGAGGCAGGCTGGCTTTCCTGTAAGACATGTCGGGGACACTGAGGCAGGGGCACTGGGTGAGACTGTCCCACGCTGGGGTCTCAGGCTGGGAAGTGCCCAGCCCCAGCCTCCTGCCCCAGCCAGGCTTAAGGCCCTGGACACAGCTGTGACCTAGAGCATCCCTGCACTGCGAGCAGGATGGAGAGGCACCTGGCGAGGGCCACCGACCCCGCCCCCTTGAGAAGGGGGCAGTGGGCAGAAACCAGAGTGTGTGCCTGGGCCGGTGGGCAGAGACAGGGTGTGTGCCAGGGCTGCCGTGCCCCAGCTTCCTCTCCTTTTGCCAGAGACCCCTCAGTTACCACCCGCCTGCCAGGACCACACAGTGTCCATGCAGAATCCGAGGATGCAGAGTCACACACACCAGGCCACTCTGCCGCCTGTCCCCCGCAGGGAGACCGCCATGAGGACTTAAAGACCTTTGCACCGTGGGGGTCTCCACCTTCCTCCAGTTTTCTGGCCATGCTGGGCAGCGGGGAGACCCCTGTCTTCAGAATCCCAAGCCACAGGCACCCAGCAAGACCCTGTGTCTGACCTTGAGTACCTAATGTGGAACCACCCTCACCCTCGCTCCCCGAGGCAGAGTCCTCGTCCTCAGTGGGAATGACCCGGATTCTGCCACCCCGGAGTCCACGAGCCCCAGGTTCCGATTCCGCCTTGGGCCAGATTCAAGCCAAACCCGTCTCTCTGGATGACTTGTTTTGTGTCGGGGGCCAGACCCAGCGGTGCTCAGGGGTTGCTCCTGGCTCTGTCCTCAGGAATCACTCCCGGCAGGGCCAGGGAGACCATATGGGATGCTGGCGATCGAACCCGGGTCAGCTGCAGCCCCTGTGCGCATGACTTTTTGTTGCTAAAAATAACCCAACCCATCATCCTGAAATTAGGGGCCAGAGGGCAGTTCATCCTCAATCCCAGGACTGCAGCTTCTTAGAAGCAACTAACTTACTAGGTCCACCCCCCTGTGTATATAAACTGCAGAGATGCTATGTTGGGTGTACACAAACCCCAATCCTACGACTGGCCAGAGCCCTGGAGATAGACAGACCGCCGTGGTTCCTCTCTCCTGTCTTGCTGTTGGCTTGCTGTGAACAAAATTGTTCCAGGCTTTCACAGTTTGGGTGATGCCTCGTCAGTACCCTGGTGATCTGCACCTTTTCTCATTCCAGACCACTGTTAGCCATGGGGGTGGTTGACCGCTGCCCTTAGCGAGAACTCCCTGCCGTGCTGGGGGGAGGGGGGGTCATTCATGAGCCTCACTGTTCTTGCTTATTTGGGGTTCTATTTTACTTGGTGGTGCCAGCAGTAGAAACTCCTGCGTGCACTTCAACGCCGGCGCTAATCTCCAAGCCCCCTCCTCTGCCCTCCCTGGCCTAGTT